TGTACATGGTGACTGTGGGTTGTGTATGGATGGTGTGTGAATGTATGTACATGGTCAGGTATGGATGGTGTGTGAGTGTATGTACATGGTGGCTGTGGGTTGTGGGTGGTGTGTGAGTGTATGTATATGGTGACTGTGGGTTGTGTATGGATGGTGTGTTAATGTATGTACATGGTGACTGTGGGTTAGGTATGGATGGTGTGTGAGTGTATGTACATGGTGGCTGTGGGTTGTGGGTGGTGTGTGAGTGTATGTATATGGTGACTGTGGGTTGTGTATGGATGGTGTGTGAATGTATGTACATGGTGACTGTGGGTTAGGTATGGATGGTGTGTGAGTGTATGTACATGGTGGCTGTGGGTTGTGGGTGGTGTGTGAGTGTATGTATATGGTGACTGTGGGTTGTGTATGGATGGTGTGTGAATGTATGTACATGGTGACTGTGGGTTGGGTATGGATGGTGTGTGAGTCTATGTACAGACGGGTGCGTGTCTGTGAGGGGGGTTTGTGGTGTGAGTGAAAACAAGTGAGTGTGTAACGTACCTGAGCCGAAGTGCACATTGGATAATTCGCCCTGGTGCAGACTATGCATGGCGACTGTGGGATATATACCGACAATGCCTGAATGTATATATACGTGTTGATGTGTATGTGTGCGTGTGTATAGGTGCGTGTATTTTCATGTGTGTACGTGAGTGAGTAATGTCCCACTGATTCAGAGCAGGTAATTACATGCTCGATACTTCGCCCTGGTGCAGACTATGTACCGTGAAAGCTGGTTATATTTATGTACAGATGCTTGTGTATGTATGGATGATGAACATACCTCCTGTGCTCGTGTGTGCATTAAGTGGCTTAGCAACAAATCTGAACTCAATACACTTCACTTCTAAAAGCACAGGATTGCCAACCACTGTGGTGCAAAAGGTACACACCATTGACACGTAGTGAGAGATAGGGGTGGAAGCCTTGGGACAATATAGACAGTAGACTGCTCCATACTACAACTAAAAATAAATACTGATTGCTGGATTTAGGACACAATGAGTCCAGAATTCAAACAGGTTCCGCCCCGCTTTAGGATCCGTACGATGGTGTCGATGCCGAATCACTCTGACACAGCCAATAATAAATGCACTAAATGACACGAGTGCGACCAGTGCCAGTGCTACACGGATACAACAGGTGTCTTAGGAGCAATGTCAATCGGGACAAGCCCCATACATTCCTATTGTCGACATTGGTGAGGTACAGTGTGTGGTTGGCGCTATAAACAGAAACCCTGGTCAGCGCTATAAATAGAAACCCCGGCCAGTGGGTAATCCGGCAAACGCTCACCTGTGATATTGTCGACGTTGGTGAGTTGCAGGGTGTGGGTTGAGCTATAAATAGAATCCTTGGCCACCGTATTATCGGGTGCGAGTGGTTCGTCGACGATTAACTTCGAGGGACTGCCAAACGGTGACACAATTAAGCTCTCCAGCTCTCCTGGTTGCAGCTGTACCGGTGTACATGTGTGTGTGTCAAGTTGAAGAGACTATTGTATAAGCACTTTTGAATATGTCGATATGGGTGTGTGAGCACGTTTGTATGTTTATCTATGTGTGTGAGTGTATGCGTGCGTGTATGTATGCAGTTTTACATGGGTGTGTGCGCTGCTGCATATGTATGTATGTGTGCGGTTGTGTGTGTCTGCGTGAATATGAGTGTGTGTTTGTGAACGCGTCAGCGCCAAACACCACAATGCAGTGTGGTCCAAACATCAAATCACAAGCAAGCCAATACAAGAGTAGCGCACGTTCTCCATCACAGTCACCCCTCAATCACAACACATCATTTCTGTAGTAGCATGCATGAATCTTACTACGACCAAGTACAACCCACGACACGCCTACCCAACGTCTCCCCAACCTGGGTGTGGCAGATGGCTTATACTTACCTCGAGCTGTTGTGGGCCTGACTCTGCCCCTGGTAAGTAGCCCGGGCCAGGACTTGACTGGGTGGCTATGCACGCCTCCATCTGTGATAGCAGAGATATCGGGTCATCCGTGGAGTGTGCGAATGAGACCCAAAACAAGTCACCGACAATCACCCGCACCACAGCGTGCACGGTATGCTACCAAACCGGTGTGACGTATCGTTGAACTGGTCCAGTCTTAACCGAATCAACGAAACGATATATATATATATATATATATATATATATATATATATATATATATATATATATATATATATATATATATATATATATATATATATATATATATATATATATACTATATATATATATATATATATATATATACTATACTATACTACTACTACTACTACG